GTGGTGTTTTAGTTTGCTATCCTGAGTTAATTTAAATTGACCGGGTTAAAACCTGACTGGCGCCCGAATATTTTCCTTAATAGAGTTTATTTATGCTAGGGCAGCCGCCACCATTACACATACTATGAATATTTTTTGTTAGTTTAAAATCTGGCCATTTTTGTATGTTTTTATTTCACGGTTTATGCAAACAAAAAGTGCATAATGCTGCTAATTTTATTTGTTGGCTTTTGTCATAAAACTTGGTAAAATGATTTCAGTGTATCAGTACTTTTTAACAATGCCGTGTATAGATTGATAAATTAAGTATTGTATAACATGGGTAGCTCTCAGCTGCTTTCATTTTTAAAAAGTAGCTCCCGAATGAAATTAAGGTTGGAGACCCCTGGTCTAGTGACTCATTCATTCAACCGTTCGCTGAATCATTCAGCAACAAAACACCACTGCCTGCTTGGAGGTTGCGCAATAGCCTATTTCTGCTGTGATCTTTGTTTAGAACTCTTTTAGTTGGTGAAACAGAACAAAACCGTCAATATTGTGTCTAAAATGTAAGTAACCCAATTACGTGACCACTCAACTAGTTTATTTAACTAAAATCAATGTAACATTTGTGATCGTGAGAATATTCTGCAATTAGCTCCCTTGTCATGGTATGTTGCTTAACTACAGCATGTTATAAATGAAAAACTCAACATTCTGAATTTTTACCTCCGTATGCTTCTTCTGTGAGTTTTATTGTGTGCCGTTCAGGTCTTTTGTTCATTTCATACACATTTGATTTGATTTCTCCATAAATGTCTCTTACAAAGAAACCGGCAGCGCGAGCCTAAACTGTGCGACCTTGATACCAGAAATACACTATCCATTATCAATCGCTGTTTACGTTGAATGTAATAAAATCAGAAGAATCATTCTTGCGTTTCAATGCTTCACTGGTTATTTTTAATTTTAAGATTTAATCAGGCTATTTATCCAGTCGGACAAGTAAAATTCTAGAGCCATTTTTCAGTAAACTTGCATTAACCCATTTTAAACTAGCTAGGAGGCTGGTCAGCTAGCTGTAGCATGCAATAACTACAGTGGGGGAAAAATCTGTCTGTCCAATGATTGTAAACAGTCACTGGGTCCGTCAGACTGGAGACATTTTTGCGGAATTGGGACCGAAAATATTTAAGACCCATCGAATCTGAATTTAAGACTTAAGGACCCGTGCCCACCCTGTTAATGTGGAGACACATTTCAAGTGAGGGCAAGGTTACATCATGTTACCTTGTAAGATACATTGTTACAGTTTTCATCTCTGGCAAGCCATTCTTTGTAATCTTCTTTGGTGAGCCAAATATCTTAACTTGCATTTTCCAGGCATCACGTTTCAGTGGTTTCAGTCTATTTTTGCAATTTTTCACGGTGTCTTTGAAACGTTGAGGTACCATCAGAGTAGTTTTGTGCGCGCATGAACGTAATGGCAACGTACAACACAAGGTACCTCACGCGGGAAATGCGCGTAACTAACGTAAATCAAGCAAGCTAGTATGCATAGGACATGAAGTGTTGGCGAAATAACACATTAGCGGACCGGAGGGAATAATATGGATTTTTTTCCCAGAAAACTTCTTGCACAAAATAAATTTAAGCATTTTCAAGGACCTGTATCTATGTATGTTTATTTTCAAAAATCAAGGCCCTGGAAAGTTTTTTTATTTTTATTTTTATTTTTTTTTTTTTCAGATTCACAAACTTTCAAGGACCCATGTATGTATTGTAATTATGTTAACATTCCCTTTATGTGATATACGTTTTTATGTGATAAACCTTTTTACAATATGTACAGTAGGCCTCACGGTTGTTTTCAGCGACAGGCTTCAGCCATTGTTTAAACTCCTGCTTCTCCAACCTGGAGTCCGCAAACTTTCATTTCCCCATTTCGGCGTCTGTTTTGTGACATGTGGAGGGCGTCACATCACCTAACAGTGTCTGTCGCAAAATACGTGACATCACCCGTACGTGCCCCGAACCGATCTCGCAGACCGAGCACGCCGTTGTTTTTTAATAGTCATGGGGAGGAAAATAAATATATTCATGCATGCTTTTTGGAGTCAAACTCTTTGGACAAAGCTTGAACAAAATTTAATACCTCATAAAATCGCGATTAAGACTTTTTAATACCTTTTTAAGGGCCTTAATTTTCCCAAAAATGATTTAATACTTTTTAAGACCCCGTGGACACCCTGTAGTAGGTAGAAAATTGAGTCTCCAGGGACACTGGCCCTAATATCTGGAAATCGTAATGGATAAAAGCAGTCAAAAAGCAAAAACTGTTTAAAACAGGGTTTCATAACTTATAGTAATTCTTGAAAGATAACTCTTTTACACATTAACTACCTTTTTTTTTTTTTTTTTTACTTTTTTTGACTTTTTTT